AAAATAATTTCAATTATTTTGTCACTCAAAAGCTGAAAATTATAAATTTGCCATGGACTGTTCAATGTCATGCAATAATTTTTTTTTGTAATGGACAGGTGATAAAAGGTTTACAAAACGGTCACAAAATTGCCAGCAAAATTGATATGCATATAATAAAAGCTTATGTTATATATGTACATATAAAGAAACAGACAGTAATAATTACATGCCCGTTGTTATATACTATGATAAGTGCAATGTGGTATATTTTAGGCATGTAATAAGCTCTTATATATCCATGTTTCTTAATGGCACATAGCTGTAATACCAGGAAAAGAAACTACTGCTGTAAGGTGACACCAGTTCTAGACAGAAGGAATTGTCTTTTTTGTACTGGGTCCATTGAATATTGACTGCTGATGCCAAAGAGCGTGCACAATCTCGCATGACCAAACCCAACTCCAGAGTATGATCTCATCACAAAGACATGCTGCACTTATTGTATGGAATTCACATTACCTTATTATAATGGCTTTAATTTGCAGGGTGTGACATATACTATTTTTTATTTTACACGTGTATATTTGGTAATTCTCTTTTTTATTCAGGTATGCAAAGACCAGATTTTACACTACGGGGCAATGGGATAGGGACAGCTCTCCAACAAGATGAGAATAACAAAACCAAAAACTCTGCCAGTTTATTGCAACCAAAGGGAGATTTGGATCACGCTTATGGGTATGTGTTTTTAAGAGCTGGCTATCCTATTGTATAAATTATTCATTAAAGTGATTTTTTTTAATAATAAACATATCATACTTACCTGCTCTGGGCAATGGTTTTCCTCTTCTGCGGTCCTTTGCTGGTGCTCCTGGCCCCTCCCACCCTCTGGGGGGCACTCACAAGTACTCACTCCCGAGCCCCGCACTGAGCGTCTCTAAGACTCACAGAGCGTGGCTCAGCCCCCCCCCCCCCCAATCTCTTCTCACTGGTTGTGATTGACAACAGTGGTAGCAAAAGGGAATCGGGGGCCACTGCTCCAGCACATGCTGTTTTAAGATGGGGCTCAGGTAAGTATTGGGGGGGGGGCTTTTTACCTTCCTGCATAGAATTCAGGAAGGTAAAAACCTTCAGCGTTTACAACCACTTTAAAACTAGGCAATGCAGCTAGTCCTGAATGTAGATGAAATAAGTAACTGTTTTTTAAATATTGTATTACTGAAGCAAAGCCTCATTCTTAGCGCAGTGGTCAGCCACGAGTCCTGAAATTAGCCCAGTAATTAAAGGAATTGCTAAGATGTGCTAAAAAAAAGTACCAGAACATTACACTGGGAAAATATCAGAGTATCATATAAAAACATATGAAAGTAATAGTAGATGAGGGGATTTACTAAAGCAACCTAAAATAAAAACATTGGATACAGGGTGTTGAATAGCTATGGTCTTCATGTTATGTTTTGCAAAAACTTATCACATAAACTTTAAAAAAGTGTGGGAAATAATAGAAACAAACATGCATACTCAGCTATAAGGCTGCAGCATCAGTCCGATCCTGAAAGTGTCCCCTACTGGCTATAAGACCGAGAACTAAGTGATCGCATGACCGCTGATCACTTAGTTCTCAGTCTTTAGTGAGCAGGGAGCCGGTGACTGTCAGTCACCAGCTCTCTGCTCTTCCCTTCTAGTGCTCACTGGAGTGCTAGGCTGTGGAGGGGGAAGGAGCGGCTAGCTCAGGCTCTCAGGAGTGCACTGAGAGGCTGAGACAGCTGCCGGTCAGGCAACTGAGTGGATCCCTGGCTTTAGCCCGCTGTTGACTGATTCTGGGTCACAGGAGTGCACTAAGTAATAGACGTATGGCCCAGGGATATGCAAGTCCTATCACCCAAACACCTGGGACATGTTGTTCCAGGCACCGAGCAGGTAGTTTTTTTTAACGTTTAGCCCTGCTGCAGGGCGCACTTGTCAGGTGGAAGAATTCCAGTGGCAGTGTTGCCTCCCAATTGCTTCCACGCAACCACACTACATTGCCAGCCTCTGCCATCACCCCACCCACACACGCGCGATGTCTGCCGGTTCCGTTTGCCCATCTGCGGGCCTGGGACCAGGATCAGCTGGTGCCAGCAGGTAGAAGGGGAGGAAGAAAGCAGACACGTTCGCTCTCTTCCCCTTCTTGTCCTGCACATCACACTGTATTACATTCTTGGTCGGGAAATCTGTCAAGGGGACCCGGAAGTGACATCATACACATTACTTCCGGGTCCCCGTTGACAGATTTCCCAGCCATAAAGGCTGGGAAAGAATGTGATGCAATGTGATGTGCAGTGCATTACATTCAGTGGAGTACAGACCCTGGACGCCTCATTAAAGAGAACCTGCCACCAAAAATTGACCACATAGGGGAACTTTTTTGTCTCCAAAAATGAACAAAAAGTGAAGTAAAAAAAAAAATTTTTGTAATTATAAAAACATTAAAGTTACACCCAAGGACATTATCCCCCCCAAAAAATTTGAGGCTCCCCCATCCCCACATGCGTGTACATACATAAATACACCCGGGACGCCTGCACATGAAAATGTAGATCGCGATACACGTTACATATTGCCATGTATGCCAGAAGGAGATCAATAACTCTAGCACCAGACTTCCGTACACTAAACTGTGACCTATAAGGGGCTTTAAAAGCGTATAAAGTACTAAAATTTGTTGCCATTTCACGAGCGCACGCAAATGTAACGTTTCCCATGTTAGATATCTATTAACGCAGTGCATGCTCACCTTTTATATTTTACACAAAATTGAGTCATTTAATTCCTTTTTTGCCCTAAAAAGAACCAAAGTGAATTTTTTACTGAAATGTTGCAGTTCCCTAGACCTTGGTGGTAATATCATGTGACATAAAAAAAATTGGAACTACCCCTATTTTATTAAGGGATAAAGGATAAGTTTACCTTCACAAACATGTAGTAGTAGATTGTCATTAGGGACAAGTATATTGGGACCCCGATTTAGTCCTTTGGACTAGTAGTTCTCTCAAAAATTTGCACACCCTGATGGCCGAAAAGGCTTTGGCCATATTTCCTTTGAACCTTTTTTGACCAAGGGTAGCATCAAAGGTAGACCAAGGGTAACTAGACTCTGCCATGGCTATGAAAAGTTTAATTAACCCACATACCCTCCAGGGATTTACCCCTTCCTGACCAGGCTATTTTTTGTGATACGGCGCTGCGTTACTTTAACGGACAATTGCACGGTCATGCAATGCTGCACCCAAATAAAACTTACATGCTTTTTTTTCATCCCACAAATAGAGCTTTCTTTTTAGTGGTATTTGAAAGCCTGTGCGTTTTTAGTTTTTGCACTATAAACAAAAAAATACTGACAATTTTAAGAAAAAAACAATATTTTTGACTTTTTGCTATTAAACATGTCCAGTAAAAAAATTTCAAAAACCAAATTTCGCCATAAATTAGGCCAAAATGTATTATGCTACATGTCTTTGCTAAAAAAAATCCTAATATGTATGTCTTTCACTGTAAGCACACTGCTTTGGATGGCTCTGCTATGCAGAGTCATCCAAATCAGTGTGCAGGAGCTGCATTGTTTAAAATACAGGTCTCTCCCCCCCGTCGGAGAACTCGTTGATCATAGGGTGACAGCGAGTAATCACTGGCTGGGACCCAGTGATTGACAGCCGAGGCCGCGAATGGCGGCACGGTAGGGCGCATGCATGCCCCCTACCCGGAACTGCAAAATCATGTAATATACGTGATTTTGCACACCCCGTGATGCCCTGTAGCAGTATTTCTGCTATAGGGTGGCACGGGACTGGTTAAACAAAGCTCTATCATACAGATATACACTCACACGGCCACTTTAATTAGGTATAGCTGTTCAATTGCTTGGTAACACAAATTGACAATCAACCAATCACATGGCAGCGACTCAATGCATTTAGGCATGTTGACGTGGTAAAGACAACTTGCTGAAGTTCAAACTAAGCATCAGAATAGGGCAGAAAGGGGATTTAAGTGACTTTGAACGTGGCATGCTTGTTGGTTGCAGAGGGGTTGGTCTGAGCATTTCAAAAACTGCTGCTCTACTGGGATTTTTCATCACGCATAACCAGGGGGGACAGACCATTTGGAAACGGTCCGGGGTCAGTAGGGGGCCCCATGAGATGCCCCTGGTACCTTTATCATAGGCTTTTTTGAGTTTGAGCAAGGACACAGGGGCCCTATGATCCCCTATTGCCCGGGGGCCCCATGAGTAACCATCTCTAGGGTTTGCAGAGAATGGTCCGAAAAGAGAGAAAATATCCAGTGAGCGGCAGTTGTGTGGACGAAAATGCCTTGTTGATGTCAGAGGCAGAGGAGATTAGCAGACTGGCTGCTGCAACATTAAGATGGTAGGGGCTCAGAATTTGGTGTAAACAAACTGAAAGCATGGATCCATCCTGCCTTTTATCAGCGGTTCAGGCTGGTGGTGGTGTGTAATGGTGTGGGGGATATTTTCTTGGCACTAGCAAGGTGTACCTAATAAAGGGGCCAGTGAGTGTATACTATAGTACTATAAGCACCTGAATACAATCTTCACTTTCTTGCAGAACTAAAGGCATTTCATGCACAGGGACATTTAGAGGCTGCAAAGTCTGACATGTTTGGGGAAATGCTCAGTGCAATGTGCTGGTAAACACTAATTCCCAAGCCATCGCTGTTTACAGGAGTACAACCAGGATCAGACATTCACTTGTATGGGCAGACGTATGCTCCGTGGTTCCCCGGCATGGGGGCATTTAATGCTGGAGGACTTTGCAGCCTCTAGATGTCCATAGTGCATGAAGCCTTCGACATGCACACTTATGCAGGCCATAGATGGGTTTCGAAAATCGGCCGATTTGTCGGCCGAAAATAAAATCGGCCGATTTTCGGATCGTTTAGTGGGCGATTTGGTCGGCCGTTTTCGGGATTTTGGCCGTTTTTTTTTTTTTTTGGTAAAGTTGGAAAAAAATCGGCCGACGGCCCGATTTTCTGCGGCATTAATGTGGCCAATCGGCCGATTTTTTACCGATAAAAAATCTGCGCATGAGCAGTGACCTGCAAGAGGAAGACAAAAAGAAGAAAAAGAAGAAGAGGAAGAGGATGAAGAAGAGGATGAAGAAGAGGAGAAGAAGATGGGATGAAGAAGAGGATGAGAAGAAGAAGAAGAGGATGAGGGTGAAGAAGTGAGAATGAAGAAGAAGAAGAGGATGAGGATGATGAAGAAGAAGAGGATGGTTGATGAAGAAAAGAGAAGAAGAAGAGGTTGAGGAAGAAGAAGAAGATGAGGATGAGGATGAAGAAGAGGATGAGGAAGAAGAAGAGGATGAGGAAGAAGAAGATGAAGAGCATTTCAATGAAGGAAGAAGAAGAAGATGAAGAAGAAGGAAGAAGAGGATGAAGAAGAAGAAGAAGAAGAGGAGATGAGAAGAAGAAGAAGAGGATGAATGAAGAAGAAGAAGAATGAAAAGAAGAATTGAAAAGAAGAAGAAGAAGAATGAAAAAGAAGAATGAAAAGAAGAATTAAGAATGAAAAGAAGAATGAAAAATTAAGAGAAGAATGAGAAGTGAAAAGAAGGGAAGAATGGACTGAAAATTTCCAAGAATTCCAGTTACAGCAAAAAGTGTATCTGCAGAGAGCTCCGCTATTTCTGACAGTTCTCTGACAGTTCCTTCACATTTACAGCGGTTTGAAAACATTGTATCTATTTGTTTCCGAATAAAAAATCATCTGTATCCTAAATGGAAACAAATAGATACAATGTTTCAACCGCTGTAAATGTGAAGGAACTGTCAGAGAACTGTCAGAAATAGCGGAGCTCTCTGCAGGGACACTTTTTGCCGGCTGTAGACGGGATGAAAATCGGCCGATTTTTTTTTTACCATTGGTGGTAACGTCGGCCACTTGAACGACCGATTGTTTCTTTTTTTAAAAGAAAAATCGGCCGATTTTCCACCCATCATGGCCTGCATTATGCAGGCCATAGATGGGTCGAAAATCGGCCGATTTTTTTCAGCCGAAAAAAAATCCCGATTTTCGGATCGTTAGTGGGCGATTTGGTCGGCCGTTTTTTCGGTATTTTGGCCGTTTTTTTTTTTCTTCGGTAAAGTTGGGAAAAAAATCGGCCGATTTTGCCGATCGGCCCGATTTTCGCGGCAATTAGTGGGCAAATCGGCCGATTTTTTACCGATAAAAAATCTGCCACATGAGCAGTGACCTGCAAGAGGAAGACAAAAAGAAGAAAATGAAGAAGAGGATGAAGAAGAAGAAGAGGAAGAAGAAGAGGATGAGGATGAAGAAGAAGAAGAAGAGGATGAGGATGAAGAAGAGGAATGAGGATGAAGAAGAAGAAGAGGAAGAGGAAAGAAGAAGAGGATGAGGACGAAGAAGAAGAGGATGAGGATGAAGAAACGAGGATGAGGAAGAAGAGGATGAGGAATGATGAAGAAGAAGAAGAGGATGAGGAGGAAGAAGAAGAGGATGAGGATGATGAAGAAGAAGAAGAAGAAGAGGATGGTGTAAGAAGAAGAAGATGAGGATGAGGGAAGTAGTAGAAGAAGAGGATGAGGATGATGAAGAGGATGAAGAAGAAGAAGAAGAAGAAGAAGGATGAGGATGAAGAAGAAGAGGATGAGGATGAAGAAGAAAGAGGATGATGAAGAAGAAGAGGATGAGGATGATGAAGAAGAGGATGAGGATGATGAAGAAGAGGATGAGGATGATGAAGAGGATGAGGATGATGAAGAAGAGGATGAGGACGAAGAAGAGGATGAGGATGATAAGAAGAAGAAGAAGAAGAGGATGAGGATGATGAAGAAGAAGAAGAAGAAGAAGAAAGAGGATGAGGATTATGAAGAAGAAGAGGAGGATGAGGATGAAGAAGAAGAAGAAGTAGGATGAAAATAAGAGGAATTCCAGTCCAGCAAAAAAGTGTCTCTGCAGAAGCTCCGCTATTTCTTTGACAGTTCTCTGACAGTTCCTTGACTTTTACAGAGGTTGCAACATTGTATCTATTTGTTTCCGAATAAAAACATCTGTATCCTAAATGGAAACAAATAGATACATTGTTGCAACTTCTATAAATGTCAAGGAACTGTCAGAGAACTGTCAAAGAAATAGCAGAGCTCTCTGCAGGGACACTTTTTGCCGGCTCTAGACGGGATGAAAATCGACCGATTTTTTTTTACCATTGATGGTAACGTCGGCCGCTTGAACGACCGATTTTTCGTATTTTAAAAGAAAAATCTGCCGTTTTTCTCCCCATCTATGGCCTGCATTAGACTCAGCATTTCTGGCTGTGCTGGATGTCTGCATCCCAGCCTTAGCCACTAGATAACGTGTGTGTGTCCCTGCGGCTCTGTAGGAAAACACCAGCATGGTAACCAGGGGTGTATTTACCACACGGCAAACAAGGCATTTGCCTAGGGCGGCATTTTTCAGGAGGGGCAGCACTGCCCTTGGAAGCAGGGATGGAAGAAGAGACACAAGCGTCATGGGGACCTGGTGGGTTCTGAGAGATACTTTGGGTTTCATGACGGTGTATGCACAGTCCGGCTCTCGCTCCTGGGGATGTCCGGAGCTTTGAAGGTGAGTGTCTTTCTCTCTCTCACCATGGGGGATGGTGTGGGGGGCAGTGGTAGTGGAAGGCTTGGGTAGAGGGCAGGGGTGCTCATAAGCAATGTCAGGCTCTTTCTGCAGGGGCACCAATTTTTGTGTTGCCTAGGGCAACACAAAACCTAAAGACAACACTAATGGTAATAACTGAGGGATGTGGGGAGGTTACCACAATAGACAGCAGTGAAGACACAGACATCTGACATGCCCAGAAGTGCAGGATGCTGAAGATTCCAGCAGTGCAACGAATTTTTGTCCATTATTGAGATGATGGCTATTTGCAGTCCTGAATCAATTCTCCTCTATGTGTAACTTTGCCAATAAAGCATATCTTTGAATACTATTTGAGTATCGCATTTGTCCTCTATGTAACCGCTTTTCTTTGTGAATCTCTCTTTTCACGGTTTTTTGCTGCTGAAGATTCTAGCAGCACAACTAACTCTGTAAAAGAAGGAAGACTAGAGTCCATGGAGGACCTAATGAGTATTAACAATGTATTGAACAAAGCTGTCATAGTCAGTAAAGTGTCTTTGTAGGCATTTGTAACTAAGGCACTATTTCTTTTAGCACTTGCAATTGTCGTTTCTCCCTGTTCTTTCACTGAAACATTCAGATAAGGATATTTTTAAGGCAAAGTACAATAACATTCAGAAAAAAGTGTTTCGTTAGCTGATCATTGTCAGTGATTGCCAACTGGTAGTTCATATTTTCAGCAACAGTCTACTCTGAGATACTGTACAGTACATGTAATTGTGCTCACACATCCACATTTATTTCGGCACTCTGCTCTCATGGCTTGTGCACATTAGTAGACATGACAGCGTATAAGTGAAGACCTGCATCCTAGTGCAGAAGGCACACCTCACTAGTACATGATTCTAATGATGGAGTTTTTTGTAATACATTTCATCTTCCACCTGTTTTAAAAATGAAAGATGCAGCTGACAGTGCCATCTCGTGGTTATTACACTAACTGCAGAGCAAGCAATGCTGGACTTTACGCATTTGCAGGCTGCCATTCTTGCTGTAGGCATTGCTTTACTTAAAAAAATCAGGAAATAAAAATGCATGCTATGATGAAAGATTATTATTCCTAGGCTTCTAAACCCACCCTTGCCTTTACAGTGAGCTTTAAAAATCCTAAATGAATAAATCATTTTAAAGAATCATTATAATACCTGGACCACATAATTCTTGAGATTAATAGCAAATCACAAAAACAGATGAACCTAAACTTTAAGGGGATAAGCCCAATTTATCCTAAAAAAAACATGCCTTCCAAAAAATATATAAACAAAAAAAAAAGGAGGTATTAACTGCCAAAAACCATTATCACCCTTATTTTTAATGACTCTTTTTTTTTTAAATACATTATACTTCTCCTAAAGTGTAATTTAGGTAATTGCTATATTTTGGACAGGTGGCTCAGGCAATCTTAGGCTGGCCATACATTATACAATTTTCTTGTACACTTTTCCTTTAGATTTACCAAAATAATATGATATGTTATTACCAAACCTAAACACTTTCCATTTGTATGCAATCAGACAGGCACTTGCACTACATAGTTGAAGGTAAATCTAAAGGAAATTGAACAAGAAAATTGTGTAATGTATCTTAAATTACCTGTCTGATTTCCATTGTCCATTAATGATATCCTATCAGCAGACTCTATCTTTTCTGTTACTCACCATTTTGTATCTGTGTGATGCCATCAGCTGGAGGTTTCTAATGCAACTTATTATTATTATAATACATGATTTATATAGCGCCAAAAGACTGCTCAGCGCTTTACAAGTTGGCAGCTGAAGCATCTATTCTCTTGATTGTGAAAGTTAGGCCTACCTTTTTAGTTTTGGGTGCAGTGAGATTATTTAATTTTGAGTACAGAGAAAGGTTAGTTTAGAACCTATGTCATTTTTTTTTTTTGCTTCCTCTCTCTATTGGAGAGATACCAGGACCAGAAACAATGGAAAATGTATTCAGTGGAGATAAGGACAAGAAAAAAAGCCCTGAGATGTTTTCTAACCCTTTCCTACTATAACCAAAATTGAAAAAAATGCTACAAATGTGGTATCAGTTTCTGGTTGGATGGCGGGACTGTCCTTAAAGTGACACAATCAGAAAAATTAAAACTAAAACGCTCTGCAAAAGAAAATTGTAAATACTTATCTATCACACTCAACCCTTGTCTCAGACCTTTGTTTGCTTGCAGATGTGTGTTGGATACTACAGATTCTGCAGGAGGCTTTGCTCTGCAAGTGAGCAAATACCAAAAGCAAGGCCAGTGAGAGAAGAGTATTAATACCAGCCCAGGCTAGCAGCTTATATATAACTTATTTTCTATCTCATTGCTCCATTCTGCTACTAGAAGGGAAGAGAAATATCTGGCACTTCTCCATATGAGGGGGGAAGAAGCATATAACACACTCTCCTTCCTCCTATGTGAAAGAGCTCCCGACGCAACCCACACTGTCACACTTGGGTTAAAAGTCCACAACAATGTGTAAGCTTTGAATCATGGCTTGGTGCTTATCATTTGCTGCAAGAGTGCAAATTAAATGCCCCAAAAGCAATATACTTCTCAGCTACTACAGTATTAGTGGTTATAAAGGTAACAAGGTTTAGGCATCGGTATGCCCCCTTACCCCCATTTATTTACCCTCATCTGAGCCAACACAATGCCAACTCTTTTCTCCCCTCACTTCCTGGTCTCTCAGGCTTTGCTGAGGCAGCAGGAGCCTTTGGCTGCTGCTGCCTATCAAAGCCAGTGATGAATGAGGGGTGGGGCTGAGTTCTGCTGTCTGTGTCAATAGATTGCAAACAGCAAGGCTCAGGAGTGAGCCTGCATGAGCGCCCCCATAGAAAGCATCCTTTTATGGGGACACTTGGCGGAGGGGAGGCATTAGGAGCACTGGCATGGACCTGAGAAGGAGAGGATCAGGGCTGCTCTGTGCAATGGAATTGCACAAAGCAGGTAAGTATAAACCTGTTTATTACAAAACAAAAACAAGCATTTACAAACACTTAAAGTGTAACTACACCCAGGACCCTGCATTCTCTCCATCTGGTTTCCCACAGTACACAGAACAGTGAAATGCAATTATTTTAGTAAATATAAATTGCTAAATACCTTTTCTCATCAGCAGTCTTGTGACTTCTATTAGTGTCCAGCTGAGCACTGGTTAATGCTAGTAGGAGACTGCATAACCCCTGACCCTCTGTCTGCACAGCGCTCATTGGCCCTGTGCTGATTACATACATGCTCCCAAAGAAAATAAACTCTTTCGCAATACACACTAAACTGTGCATGTGCAAAGTGACTCCCAGAGCTCTGTAATATCAGCACATGGATGGGGGACAGTAGAAGAAGGGGAGGATCAGAGAAGACAGGATCAAACATCCTTATTACATAATGCGGAGGATTAACCCCTTAGGTTCCACAATGAGTATAACAAGCATGCTTTACTGCATATACAGAATGATTTTGCTGTTGTGGGTTTAGTAACACTTTAACGTTTGCCAAGCGAGGCAGTTGTAAGGGGATAACAATTACTGTAAACAATTAGGATAAAAGCTACATCTCAGTACCAGGGCCACAGACAATAGCAGAAAATATTAAGCCAACAAATATAGTAGTTACCAAAGTTACAATGAATATTATTAAAGATAATATGTAACCAGCGGAAGGCACTGTCACTCAGAAATTATACATATAGATCCACTTATCTTTAAGACAAAATATGAGGCTACAGCCCACACTGCTATCCATCTATCCATACTCTCAGCACATGCCCTTACCACACAGGAAGGAAACCAGCAGCAGCTTTTAGAACTGAGCACTTCAGATATACTGTACATATTCACCACATCATTGTATAAATGATAAAACCAGAACTAAGAGCAGAAAAAAGACATCTCCCATACAGGAATCTGAAACATTACATTTCCACATCATGGATACTTCTTTCAAAGGCTTTGTTGTCTAAGTGCCAGAATTTGTACACAACCAGGTTGCAACAAACAAAATACAATGATCTTCTAACATACCACTGTAAACTATTATTTAAGAAATGGC